AATTGATGACGAGGATGTTGTGTACGATGTTTTGTACAATGTATTATGACAACAACAAATTGATGACGAGGATGTTGTGTATGATGTTTTGTACAATGTATTATGACAACAACAAATTGATGACGACGAGGTTGTGTATGATGTTTTGTACAATGTATTATGACAACAACAAATTGATGACGAGGATGTTGTGTACGATGTTTTGTACAATGTATTATGACAACAACAAATTGATGACGAGGATGTTGTGTATGATGTTTTGTACAATGTATTATGACAACAAATTGATGACGAGGATGTTGTGTACGATGTTTTGTACAATGTATTATGGCAACAACAAATTGATGACGAGGATGTTGTGTACGATGTTTTGTACAATGTATTATGGCAACAACAAATTGATGACGAGGATGTTGTGTACGATGTTTTGTACAATGTACTACGACAACAACAAATTGATGACGAGGATGTTGTGTACGATGTTTTGTACAATGTACTATAACAACAAATTGATGACGAGGATGTTGTGTACGATGTTTTGTACAATGTATTATGACAACAACAAATTGATGACGAGGATGTTGTGTACGATGTTTTGTACAATGTACTATAACAACAAATTGATGACGAGGATGTTGTGTACGATGTTTTGTACAATGTACTATAACAACAAATTGATGACGAGGATGTTGTGTACGATGTTTTTACAATGTACTATAACAACAAATTGATGACGAGGATGTTGTGTACGATGTTTTGTACAATGTACTATAACAACAAATTGATGACGAGGATGTTGTGTATTATGTTTTGTACAATGTACTATGACAACAACAAATTGATGACGAGGATGTTGTGTATGATGTTTTGTACAATGCATTATGACAACAACAAATTGATGACGAGGATGTTGTGTACGATGTTTTGTACAATGTATTATGACAACAAATTGATGATGAGGATGTTGTGTACAATGTTTTGTACAATGTACTATGACAACAACAAATTGATGACGAGGATGTTGTGTACGATGTTTTGTACAATGTATTATGAAAACACCAAATGTATTTTGGGAAATAAAAATACTTAATAAAAAAATATATAAAAGGAAAAAGATCGGTGGCCAGACCCACCTACTTGTCTGATGCATGTCCTCATATTCCAGTTGTTAGATTGATGCTACTGACATTCATGAGTGCAGTTGTTCAACTATTTACAGACAGCCATCATATGGCCAGAATATTGGTTCAATAGGGCCTCAAACAAACACTTTAGATACCTTACTAAGAAAGATTTCGTGCACTTCTGGTTTAAAATCCAATTACATGTTTGAACATCAGTTGAAAGAATTGTTGCTAACCTGTATAAACATGTCACACCAACAGGGCATGTCTACAGTACACATTGAGATGAAAGTGAGTGAGTTGGGTTTTACGCAGCTTGTAGCAATATTCCAGCAATATCACAGCAAGGGACACCAGCAATGTGTATCACACATTGTACCCATGTGGGGAATTGAACCCGGGCCTTTGTGACTGAGTGTGGCTCTTTCTACTAGTCTTCTTGACCTATGAGTTCTAGACCCAAGATACCATGTTGAAGCACACCATACAGACACCAAGGAAGAACTTTACCACAAGATTAAAATCATTTATCATTCACATGTATTCAGATAAATTGAGAACTACGAAGCACAAGACTCCATAAATGCTTGCTTAAATTTTTTTTACTGAAAATGGCAAACACTCGGGAGAAATTTCACTGTAACCTTCACCCCACATAAATGACATGAGGTCATTTGATTATTGGTCCACCTAAACTATCTGTAGGGCCATCTAAACCTGACTTCAGGTCCATCTAAACCTGACTTCAGGGCCATCTAAACCTGACTTCAGGGCCATCTAAACCTGACTTCAGATCCACCTAAACCTGACTTCAGGTCCATCTAAACCTGACTTCAGATCCACCTAAACCTGACTTCAGGGCCATCTAAACCTGACTTCAGGTCCATCTAAACCTGACTTCAGGGCCATCTAAACCTGACTTCAGGTCCATCTAAACCTGACTTCAGATCCACCTAAACCTGACTTCAGGACATCTAGACCTGACTTCAGATCCACCTCAACCTGACTTCAGATCCACCTAAACCTGACTTCAGATCAACCTAAACCTGACTTCAGGGCCATCTAAACCTGACTTCAGATCCACCTCAACCTGACTTCAGATCCATCTAAACCTGACTTCAGATCCACCTAAACCTGACTTCAGATCCACCTCAACCTGACTTCAGGCCATCTAAACCTGACTTCAGATCCACCTCAACCTGACTTCAGGCCATCTAAACCTGACTTCAGATCCACCTCAACCTGACTTCAGATCCACCTAAACCTGACTTCAGATCCACCTCAACCTGACTTCAGATCCACCTCAACCTGACTTCAGGCCATCTAAACCTGACTTCAGGCCATCTAAACCTGACTTCAGGGCCATCTAAACCTGACTTCAAGCCATCTAAACCTGACTTCAGGGCCATCTAAACCTGACTTCAGGGCCATCTAAACCTGACTTCAGGGCCATCTAAACCTGACTTCAGGGCCATCTAAACCGGACTTCAGGCCATCTAAACCTGACTTCAGGGCCATCTAAACCTGACTTCAGGGCCATCTGAAACTGACTTCAGGGACATCTGAAACTGACTTCAGGGACATCTGAACCTGACTTCAGGCCCACCTAAACCTGACTTCAGGCCCACCTAAACCTGACTTCAGGTCCATCTAAACCTGACTTCAGGCCATCTAAACCTGACTTCAGGGCCATCTAAACCTGACTTCAGGGCCATCAAAACCTGACTTCAGGGCCATCAAAACCTGACTTCAGGGCCATCTAGACCTGGCTTCAGAGCCATCTAGATCTGACTTCAGAGCCATCTAGACCTGACTTCAGGTCCATCTAAACCTGACTTCAGGTCCACCTAAACCTGACTTTAGGGTCACCTAAACCTGACTTCAGGTCCATCTAGACCTGGCTTCAGGTCCATCTAGACCTGGCTTCAGGTCCATCTAGACCTGGCTTCAGGTCCATCTTAACCTGACTTCAGGTCCACATATAGGTAAAGCTGACTTCAGGTCCATCTTAGCTGGGCTTTAGGTCCATCTAAATCTTACTTCAGGTCCATCCAAAGCTAACAGGTGATCCACTTAAAGTTTGGTATAGATTTGTTAAGCAACTTACAGACTAATAACAACCTAAATATGGAAGTAGCTGCAAGCTGCTGGTGCTACTAAAGTACTTTCGGAAATAGAAAAAAACTGTTATTTCACATTTACATCTACAATTTATGTAGATAACATGTGAAAGTGTGAAATATTTGTTAAACTAAGTTCAGCCTAACTATAGTCTCAGTGGTAGGGAGATAGGAAACGTAAAAATTGGATTTTACTCAGGAGAGATTAGTGCAGAAATGAGTAATGCAGGTTTTTTCTAAGCCCAAATCGACTTATTTGGAACAGACTATGACTTTATGGAAATTAGAGGACGATGATATTGTATTACAAAGGACACTTTTTAGATACCCATTTTGAAAGTAGACTTAGTTTCATTATAAACGATAGCTAACGTAAAAAAATAATAACTTTAATACTGACACTATTAAGGATGCAGCTACCATGGAGTCTCACTATCACTATAAAAAGAAACAGGTAGGAGGGGCCGTCTCAAAAGCAAAACAGGGACGGGTGTCGGAGACGGTGGTTTAGGGTCTGGCTGGGGTATAGAAAGATCAGCTAAGATAAGATGATCCTTCAAGGAAAGTAAACGGCATGTCATAACAATTTAAACCTAATATCCAGTCCTGTCGATATATTTTGAGACATTTAATACAATGACTGATTATGCTTTTCTACGGGTATCATACTCTTTTACATATCTGACATAAACGTAATGAAATACACGTAAGATGTTAATCAATAGATACCACATATTCAACACACAAGAAAAGGCATCAAATATCTTTGAGATGACCCCTTGTGCCTGTAGGCAGCACATGCATTTCATGCCAGGTGAGTCGATGGTCCGGCATCATACCTGGCTGAGCGACCTAATTGCCATGTACAGTCTGATCTATTGTTTTCAGCAGCTATTCGTATTTTTTTTCTAAGTTTTGCCCGATTTTACGAGTAAACATGCTTTTCTGGATATCCTATTACACATCCCACTGAACACCCAGCTAGGCCGATGTGGGTTATTTCGACATATGCTATTTGCAATTGTGTAAATTTTAGGGATACAGAAGAATAGCTTAAAAACAGTTTTTTTTCTATTTCCGACAGTACTTTAGAGAGACAACAATTTATGTACAAGTTGACAGCAAAGAGGACCTAGAGTATCTTGAAAATCTGTAGTTTTAGTTCTAGTGTAACTACAGCTACAAATAGAGGATTTATGCTAATGATGTAATAGAAGCACAAGTTATGCAAGAATTGTATATTTTTATTTCAACTTATCAATATCTCTTTCATAACACGTTTCCAAAGACTGGAGACACAATGCTAGACATTTTCTAAAAAGATTTCCATGTTATACATACATTATCATGTAAGTATGTTTCGGTATGGTAAATATCCTGAATTAAATTAGGAATAACATTTATTATGCCTTTCATGCCTGTAATCTTCTCAGCAAGCCTCAGTGGAACCAGCTGGTCACAGATAGAGTTAGAAGCCTCGACATACCTACTCGAATGCACTGAATAGCCAGCAGATTAGATCTGTCCAGATACACATGACTTTACGACATGAGAACACTAATAGACTCTGGCTACTGTGCAAGAACTTCCCCTGAAATTTAATGCTATATCTAAACTTGTCCAGATTGCATGTAGACCACTAGAATCGAGAGAATGTGCATGTGGTACAGTTGTCTATGACCTTGTGAACCATGTTTTCATATCATGTTCCAAGAACATGTCAGAGAGAGACGAACTGTATGAAAAAGTATTTGACCTGATGGATGTCAAATGCTTTGCTGACTTATGGTCAAAAGATGACGACTTCATCATCTCATTCTTCCTCGGTGGATTCCCAGACTGTACAGAAGAGATTCACTTTGATACCTGGTGCCAAATAATGTTAATTGTGGCTGATTTTGTCAGTAAATGCAATTTCCTGTTTCATTAACTTTCTGATGCATTCATATATTCACTTGTCTGTAAATATCATGTGATGTTTAAATGCTTGTAATCTTCATATCTGGAGGAAATAAAGCCAATCTATCTATCTGTACAGTAACATTTATTTTAGGAAGTCTTTGCTTCATTTGTCATTATTAAATTCTGTCATAAAGAAACTATTCTAATTTCTCAAAGACATTACCCAAACATTGCAAGTTCCCCTATAATGTGCACTTTACATATTCTACATTAGAAGGTCAGTAATACGCTAGTCTGACAGTGACATTATAGTTACAACTGAAACCTATTCCATAGACCATTCCAAAACCATATATTGGCAAAATAACAGTTTTCAAGGCAATATTTTAATCAAACTGCAAGAGTTACTGCCCTTTATGACTGGAAAACTGCTCTCACAAGAGTTACTGCCCTTTATCACACTGACTCTGATCTACATTCGTCACCACTCGCCCCTTTCCGTAACCTCCATGAAGACTTGTCCCCGTCTCGATGCTTGTTATGTGAGAAAATACGACAAACCAATCAGAACCCGGGTAATGATTGCGGTGCTTTGATAAAAATAATCCCGACTACGTAAATCGTTTATGGCATTAAGTTATTGTTTAAAAAAAATCAAGAAAAATATATATCGTCATATTGAAAGTACTAAGAACGTGGCTAACAGAATTGTTCTGTCTAATGTGAAGTTTTTGATAAGAATCATGCGATTGACGGTGAGAGATTCAAATACACGCACGTGCATTTGTTGACTTAACAGCTCTCACTGGTCCAACAGTGTATTTCTGACGATCTTGCGGGCTTGTTGTGGTGATTGTACGTGCGCTTTTAACAGTTTTAGGAAATGTAGTTTTATAAATTGCTACAAGTTTCAAAACAATAATATTATATCTGTATGTAACTATAGTACTGTCGGAAATGCTAGAAAAATGCTTTTTGACTTATATTTAAAATTCAGAGGTATTACAGTTACTTAAATAACAAATATCACTTCAAGAAACATCTACCTAATGTAGACCGAGGGAATAAATTTTGAGACATGCTCTAAAATGTGTTTTTACTGATGAAAATACCAAAAACTTAGAAAAATAAGGGGTAGTTGGACGTTATTTGAAACAAACATTAACTGCCTGTGTTACGTCATCAGCATGCACGGTATCGACAGGTGAAATTGACACCTGAGCACACGCTCGGGGCGAGGGGTCATCTCAATAGATGTTTTCTGCAAAAGGAACAATTACATTTATTGTTAGTAATTGTTAGTAAACTTACCTCTGGATTATGGTTGCCTTATTCTGTGGTTTCCACAGACACATACAGAATGAAGTGAAAATTTTAACACTAAGTCATAGCTATCCCTTGTGGTATGCCCTTCCAACTGACAGAGTTACCTCCCCCTGACCTAGATGTCACTGTATAGTAGTTTGAAAATCCTCACAAATTTTATGAATACAGTTTACAAAACACTTATCTTCTAGAGGAAAGGAGGGGAGGAAGGGCGGGACCTATACCCCATAATCCAGAGGTAAGTTTACTAACAATTACTAACAATAAATGTAATTGTTCCTAATTGAGGCGTAAACATTCCCTCTGGATTATGGTTGCCTGAATCCCACATACGGATGGAGGGCTATCCCTAGAAGAATAGTCCTGAAGCATACCATACCACTAGTGAGTTATTCTCCATGATCAAAATCCTCTAAGGATAACTATGACTTAGTAGTAAATAATTCACTGGTGAAATATAATATTGGATCATTGTCCACTGGACTTCCGTCCAAATGTTGAGTAGTCTCTAATTATCAATCGAATTATACTACTCTTCAGATGAATTAATATTGATAATTTCCAATTAACAACTTCCCCGAATTCTGTCATCTCATGACGTAACTTCCCATTTATGACGTCACTTCGGTCAATATTCGGTCTATGGCGTCACTTCCGGTCTATGACGTCACTTCCGGTTTATGACGTCACTTCGGTTGATTCTCCCAATCCTTAAGATTAATTCCGTAATAATTAGAGACTACTCCTTTCAATACTCAACCACCACCTGAGTTCCGGTTAGTATCTATAATAGGGATAATCGTAACTGTGACCTACCTGATAATACTTCTGTCTCGATATCTTCTCTCCATCATCGTATAATCCAGGTGTGTAACATGCTTGACACATGATCCAATCCCTGCTACCCCCCCCTTTTAATAGGTACTAGGCGGAGGAAAGGTGTTGTGCCGCTACTAACGGACCCAGGGACTTAAGGCCTTCCATTGAAGAGGCTACATCTCTTAAATAAAAATTTATAAATGTGTTTGACGACTTCCATTGACAACTAGCCACCACTCGTTCAACTGAAACTGAACCCCATGCCGCTACTGTTGATGCTAATGCCCTAATCTCATGTGGCGAGAATCTAACATTAACTGATTCTTGATCCAAGTCTCCGTAAGCATAGGCGATTGTCTTCCTGAGCCATGAAGAAATTGTATTCTTAGATATGTCCGTATTAACATTTGTTTTACAGGAGAGGAAGAGATGACGACGATTCCGTCTAAAACTAGATGTGCGGTGTATATACCATCTGAGAGCTCGGATCGGACAAAGTAGTCTTGATCTGTCAGATCTAGAGGCAGGGGGGCAGGCAGAGCTGGTATTCTGTAGACTCTGTGTCCTAACAAACCATGAGGCGTCGACTGATTCTTGGCTGTAAATTCAGGCACCGCCCTACAAGTCATCATCTTATACCCTTCCGAGAATGCAATAGATTTAAAGTCAATAGCGTGCAGTTCTGACACTCTTGAAGCCGTAGCAAAAGCCAGTAGAAAAGCAGTTTTAAAACTCAAGTATTTTAAGGAAGTGTCTTGCATAGGTTCAAACGGAGACTTCTGTAGAGCCTGTAGTACCAAACATAGATCCCACTTAGGAAATAATGACGGCGATGACACATCCTTGATCTGGAAAGATCTAATAATCCTGTGTAAAGAATGATCAGATCCTACAGATAGTCCCTGTAAGTCCATGACTGAAGCAATCGCTGATCTATAGCCTTCAATAGTATTGTGTTTTAATTTTTTAACCATCCTGAGATATATAAGAAAATCTGCTATGATAGGTATGGTGACTGGAATATTGAGTAGTCGTTGCTCTCTTCTCCACTGGATGAAGACATTCCACTTGGTGTCATACAGTGCTGCCGTTGAAGGTCTGATAGACTCGGAGATAGCCGAAATTGCTTGTTCATTGAAACCCTGCTCCTTGAGGGAACTATAGATAGTCTCCATACGTGAAGAGCTAGTAGGTTTACATTTTTGTGGTATCTGTCCGACTTGGGCTGACTGAGAAGATTTTCCCAACAAGGCAGTCGTAAGGGTTTGTCCGTCAATAATTGAAGAAGGTCCGTGAACCATGTTCTGGTCGGCCATGCTGGAGCTACCAGATAAACTACACAGTTGTGTTGGGCGATCTTGGCTAGTACTTCCGGTATCAATTTGAACGGAGGAAAAGCATATGCTATCAGATTTTCCCATGAGATTGACAGGGCATCCACTGCCCAGGCTGTCGGATCCGGAACAGGACTCACAAATGTAGGTAGACGATTGTTCCTTGCTGTCGCGAAGAGATCTATGGATGGTGTTTCCCATTTCTCCTTGATGAGTTTGAAAGCCTCCATATTCAAAGTCCATTCTGTTGATATCACTCTGTCCTGTCTGGAGAGAGAGTCTGCCAAAATATTCACCTTTCCAGGGATGTGACGAGCTTTTATATGACTTTTCATGGAATCTGCTATTTTGAAAAGTTCCTTCGTAATCTGTAGTAGACGATGAGATTTGGTTCCGCCCTGTTTGTTTATATAGGCTACTACTGTGCTGTTGTCTGTCACTAACATAATGTTCTTCTGATGCAGGTTCCAAGACCAATGAGACAGAGCTTTTACCAGCGCTAACATCTCCAGACAGTTGATATGGAGATTGCTTTCCTGTTGAGACCACAGCCCCTGAACTTGATGTTCGTTGACATGAGCGCCCCATCCCGAGTTTGAGGCGTCCGCATATAGAGTGACGTCTGGAGGAGGAAGACGAAAATGTACTCCTGGAAGCACGTTGCTGTCCACCGTCCACCACAAAAATTCCTGACGAATCATGAAGGGAGGAGATACCATAGTTTCTAAGTCCAGATCCCTGAACCCATTGATCCATATTTGCGGTTCGCGAAGATGAATCCTGCCCCTCATCGTGAAATCTTGGATAGACGTAAGAGATCCCAGCAGGGACATCCATGTCCGAATTGATGCGGCCTTGCTTGCTAACAGATTGAAAATCTTGGTCCGGATCTTGTACCAACGATCCTGAGGTGTAAAAATTCGTGCCGTTTTGGCATCTAGGATGGCTCCCAGATACTTGATTTTTGATGTGGGGACTAGTTCTGACTTGACCGGGTGTACAACAAGGCCTAGATGTGTGAACACGTGGAGTATAAACTTGGTCTGTTTTAAAAGAGTCTGAGTAATTATATTCCGTGCCAGGAAATCGTCCAAGTAACCGTGGATAGCTATCTGACGATGATGTAGGAACGCTAAAATGGGATTGATGATCACCGTGAACAGCCAAGGAGCTAGAGAAATTCCGAAAGGTAGAACACGGAATTGAAATCTCCGTCCGTTTACCGCGAAACGAAGGTACTTCTGAGACCGAGGATGTATTGGTACATGAAGATAAGCGTCCTTCAGGTCTATGCTGATGAATTTGGAATTTGGTTGGATAAGAGTTCTCAAATTGGTCAGGGATTCCATCTTGAATTTGGGAGGTTTCCTTAAATATTCCTTGTTTAACACTTTCAAGTCTATGATCATCCTCTTCTCCTCCGTGTCTTTCTTGGGAACTAGAAATACCGGGGAGTAGAACCCGCATGACTGGTCTGATGGTGGAATCTCCACTATGGCCTGCTTGTCTAACAGTTGTTGAATGGCCGTTACTGCTCCCGCTAGACGATCCCCTTGCAGGAAAAAACGTCTCCCTACCGGCTGGTAGGTTACTGGAGGTAGACTCTCCCATGGTAGCATGTAACCTTTCTCTATGACTGATAGAATCCAGCTGTCCGAGGTGATCTGTGTCCAATTCTCCACATATTGTGCTAGCCGACCCCCTACGGGAGATTGGGATACCGGTAGAATAAATTCGAAGTCTGTTTCCAAATCGAGGGGCATTTCCAAATCGTAAGGCTGAGTAAACTGGACTATTTGATTGGAGTCAAAACTTCCTAGATCCCGCTCTGGTGCCACGAAAAAACCTGGTGCCTCTACCCCTGCCCCTAGAGGATGAGTAGCCCCGAGTTGAAGATGGTGCTGACGAGGAGAAATTACGCGACCTAGAGTCTCCTGCCCTGTCAAATGCTGAACGTTGCAGTGGCTCCTGACGTCTGTGAGAAGGTTGGCGGGAAATAGTAGCAGATACATCCCTCCTCGGTCTGGACTGAGGTTTATTCCTGCTTTGTGACAGTAAAGCTGAAGCCAATCTCTGATTCAGATTACGTGATGTAAAGGCATCCTTAACTTGAATAGCCTGACCACATTGTCCATGAAAAAGAGATTCTGAGTCCAAGGGCTGTTGAAATAAAACATCTTTAGCTGTCTCTGGTAGACTTCTAATTGAATCTAACTTGTGAAGTCTCTCCATGGCTGTTAAACGTCCAAGTGTACACAGCTGATTGTGAGTTGCGTCGGCTATAGATTGATATACCACATCTAGGAATGAGTGCGCCATGGCTACTTCTTCGGCTGACATGGATACTAATGTGTCCTTCTTTACTCCTTCGTAATCTTGGAATAATGGTGGTAATAATGCCGGACTCCGCAGCAAACCAGTTGGTATAGGATAGTATGTCCAAGGATGAACGGGCGGCCCCATCCATGTCCTTGAGATCCTTGGATGAACAGGAAAATGGAAAATCCCTGGCAGCTCTAGCATCCTGTAGCTGTGCGAAATCCTTGTCCATATGCGGAGCATAAAGTGGAATCAGTCTATTGTGAATAGCATACACTGGCTTTTGAATAATCTTGGGTAATGCATTAAGTGAAGTAAGCCTTGGAGAGGTTCAAATTGTAAGAATCCAGCGCCGACTTAAGTGCCGATGAATGAGGAAGAGATAGCTTGGGAACCCTTTCCGGCTGCAGACATCCTGACGATCCCAGCTCCACTGGTAACTCCCGTTCCGGCTCCTCAGGCTGTGGCGGGACCGTGCTTGGATAAAGTCCATGGATTAATTCAACCTTTTCCCTAAGAGACCATCCAGGAACAAAATCTTCGGCCGAAGTATCCATAGGCTGGACTGTCAATAATCCCTCCTTCATAACGAATTCTGGTTGAGAGAGAGGATAAATAGAAGTAGCTTCAGAATCCGAGAGGTCCGGTACAAGCGGTAAAAACGGTGGCTTATCAATGTCAAAATTATCCATGGCTCCGTGGAAATCCCGCTTGGCACGTGGCTACTGGACTGCTGGTCCTGGATACCGCTAACCCCGTGGCAGCCGTGGGCTCGTGATTAAACCCAAGGTGGGAGACGAAGCCGAGGGCATGGAGTCAGTCCCGCTAGGATATGACTGCAGCACATTCCCCGCGTGGGATAAGGTAGCAGGCTTTGAGTGACTGGGATCAAGCGTGACCGCCTTTCTCCCAGGGACAAGGGACACGGCTTGTTTTGCCTGGAGCGCAATTAAAGCCTGCCTGGGGTCAGCCAGGTTGACCCCGTCCCTGTCACATGAAGCCCGTGGCTTCTCCCCCTGTGGGGAACGGCCTTCTGATCCGGTCGTAAGGTGATACCCGGCTTTCCCAGTTAGAGCACCCCCGAGTTTCACAGAAACTGACTCTTGCCCCCGCTCTTGCCATCGTCAACCCAGTCAGTGCGACCACCGGTCGATCTTGCCCATACATAATGCCATCATGAAACAGATTTTGTAATGAATTCATCTTGGTCTCATTTCTCATTTCCATATCATACATGGACTGACTAACTGAGGCTTGCAACTCTGATTTAAAGCGATGCAAATAAACCGAGATAGCAGAAATGTCCAAATGGGATGCATCCAATTTAGATCTAGATCTAGATTTGGATTTTGATTCAGATCTCTGTGAAGATGGAGGGATCCTGCGGATTTTTACTTTTGCTAGCCTCCGACGACGGGGAGCATTTACGTTTCTTAGTCTGAGATCTTGCAGAATCCATACTTAACCACTCAACCTCTGATAACTCTGAACACAGAAGGCAGCGATCTTGCAGGGTACAATGATTACCAGTAAAACAAGAAATGCAGAGAGAATGGGGGTCTAAATCCGACATGAACTTCTGACATTGCACGCACTTATTCTTAGCCATAGCTTAAAGTTAGACAATGGAAAAAGGGCGGGAAAATATATATCAAGTACAAACGTAAAAATAATATAAAATACGATGTCCAAAGGACTAATGTCGACAACACTAACCTATATAGGGATGGATCAGTGTAGAAAACAAGCTGATAAAGTCAATTTCTCACTCCACTCTATACACGTGTACAGTGTATACCATACAGAAAATTTGTGAGGATTTTCAAACTACTATACAGTGACATCTAGGTCAGGGGGAGGTAACTCTGTCAGTTGGAAGGGCATACCACAAGGGATAGCTATGACTTAGTGTTAAAATTTTCACTTCATTCTGTATGTGTCTGTGGAAACCACAGAATAAGGCAACCATAATCCAGAGGGAATGTTTACGCCTCAATTATGTTGAATATGTGTACTTATAGTATACGTATCAGTTATGTAAGGGATCATTTGTGTATGTGTGTTTGTTTTGAAATAAACATACAAATTACTGTACATTGGAAAGAATCCTATCACTTGTGTTATCTTATCGACTGCTTGTAGAAATGTGCAACGTTTTAATAAATGTTTTGCATGTCAACAGTATATTTCATTGAAAAAATATGGATGTAATTCGGTCAGTTTAATCTAGTTGTGAACATTGGCCAAAGATTTAACGAAGTCACTGGTGTAGCTTCTTTAGAATATATATATTTTTCTTCTCATAAAGTTTGTAGACCGCCCGTCTAAGCACTCCCTTGTCAAAGTTGTCAAGGATGGTTTTACGTCCCGGTTTTGCATTTGAGACGGTCCCTGTCTTGTCTGATTTGTTTACAATATTGTAAACTTGTTGGTAAGACATGCCAACAGCTCTACGAGTTCTGTAATAAACCCTTTCTAAAGCAGAAAAAACCTATAAACCTTTGCAACAATCGACTGCAAATCGTTGGCCATAGTGGACGCTGTGATAAAGATGTGCATGCATGACGGGAAACTTATTTATCAAGACTTAACATTTATATTAATATTTCTTCAATAAAGAAAACGATACTTTAGTAAAGTAACACAAACATTCAACATTTATTTGTTTAGGATAAACGTTAATTCATATTTTTACACCACCTGTATTATTAGCATAAATGTAAAGACTATTTCAGATTTCTGTTGTTGAACTCAGTTGAAATCTTAAGTTGCTGTTTTGGTACCAAATTCTCTCCTGTAAACTGCCCTTTAAATGCATGGGAATGTTAAATCGATTGAAATAAAAATTAGGTAGACAATAGGCGAGTTGATATATTGACAACATAGTACATTTATCACCTTTATAAAGATATTAAGGCTAAAAAGCATTTTTCTAGCATTTCCGACAGTACTTTTTTTAATCAACTTTAATCTTTAACATTGGGCATACCTAATACAGCAATACAATGTATGAGTATTTTGGTGATGTTAAGTAACATTGGAATCAAACAGGAATAGAGTTATCGTTCCTGTGTGAAGTATTTCTGATGTTCCTACACCAATATGAAATCCTTCCAGAGGGTCACGAGTCGCTATTCGGCTTGTCCCGGAATAACACGAGTTGGTCACGAAAGGCTGATCTACTGCTGGAGTTACTGCCCTTTATCACAGGGACACTGCTCTAATCCGTGTTTGTGAGCATTTGTAGGGCCTGACATCAGCTTGTCGTAAATTATTAATGCATAAATGCATAATTAAATGTCTGGACAAAATGAAACAAGGCAACAAGTTGTACATGTATGTATGGAAATGAAGACACTGTAACATTCTGAAAAGTACCTAAGTAGATACCTACAAGTCCAAATGTAAATATATACTCAGCAGCAAAAGAAACGTCAGTACAAATTCAAAATTAGATAAGCACTGTTATCAAATCATTACAAAAATGGACATAATAAGCGGATCAAAACATTTTTTGTGTACAATATCTTGACACATCAATGAATAACTCAGCACAATTCCAAGACACTACGTGAATGTTTGCAGTCCATTCAGACTCTTGACTTCAGTATCTAGTGTGACCGACACGAGCTGCAATAACTGCAGCACAGCGTCTATGCATGGAGTGCACCAATCGATTGATGAAGGCCATTGGCACCAGGAACCACACTCTGAGAAAGGCCTGGCGCAATAAATCGGCTGTGTTCAGCCTTGGTATGACATTATTCAGTCTCCTCTGAATTTCATCCTAAGGATGTTCAATTGGGTTTAAATCAGGACTAAGGCCACTGCATATTGTTGACACCTTTGTGTTGTTAGAAGTCCCGTGTAGCTCTGGCAGTATGGGCCCGGGCGTTATCATGCTGGAAAATGTTGTTCCGGTGACGTGCGAAATGTGGTATGACGTGGGGTCTGAGAGCTTGGTTAATGTAGCGCACCGCTGTGATGCCGCCTCCTCTCCCTGGACCAAGGTTCTGGTACACCACAGGACCCACTCTCTGGTTCAGGCCTATTCCACCCCATACCATGATGCTTGCACCTCCCCATGAGTCTCTTTCCATAACACATTGGTCTGAGTAACGCTGGCCACGTCGTCGCCATATTCTTGTTTTGCCATCCGCAGTTGATATGCAGTACTGACTCATCTGTGAACAGAACAGTTCTCCATTGCCTGTATCTCCAGTTTTGGTGTTGTAGGGCAAATTGTAGACGTTCACGCTGATGACGAGGGGTGAGGATAGGTCCACGGTAAGGTCTATGGCAATGGAGGTTCCCGCTGTTAAGACGTTGGCGTACTGTATCAGTACTGATTGGTCTTCTGTGTGTTCCCACTGTCTGGCGTGCTGTTTCGGATGCCTGCATTAAGGGATTCTGTACATGCTGTTGTCTGCATGCTGCGGTCTTGTCCTCTTGTGGTCACCCTTGGTCTGCCAGTATGGGGGTGATCATTTGTGGTGTTGGTGGCCCAGAAACGTTGCTGCAGCGTGTAGATGGTCCGAATGTTGACTTATATAAGTGATTGGCAACGCCTTATGCAGTGTGGACAACTAACGCCTGGTTCCTCTCAGCTGTTGTGAGTCGCAGCATCATGTTGACATTGTAATGTGAATGTTTCAACCAGGTTTGGGGATGCATTTTATAGGGCTTGTCCTTATGAACAGCATGTGCAGCATGAGTTGCATGACAAACATGGAGAACACCGTACCATCTCTGAGATCAGGTTGCGTTTCCTGGGTTCCATTTCCTGGGCTCCATTCTGAGTTTGGGAAGGAATGTCTTTGCTCAAGTAAAGTTGGAGAAAAATATGCCATCAAAACATTAAATGAGTTTACAGTTATCCGTTTCTGCGAAGGAAAATTCCAAACTGAAGTTTCTTTTGCTGCTTAGTATAGAATGCCTAGTCTCTTAAAATACTTAATTTGGATAGAAACAAATAACTCCGTTAAAATGGAGAAGGAAACCTAAAGAAAATATAAACTTGCTTCATTTGGTGTGTTTTCATTACAGAAATGGCTGCACAGAAAGGAAAATAAGACAGACTAGGACATGGAAACAATTTTCTCGATGAATACAACGATAGAGTTCTTGCTTATTCCACACCGCTAAAATTGATTCTTTAGGTAGAGATGTTTTGGGGGGAGTCATGTGACATTCTCCATTTCGGGCAATGAGACGTGCTTGCGACACGCTTTGAGTTGGTGAATTATAGCAGATCAAAATTAAAGACATTTAATGTGATAAGGCTGTCTTCACTAGATCATTTCTGGGTAATAATAATGACTTATGTAGACCTATGTCTATGGTAAGCGTGGTAGAAGATAAAACATGCGTGAATTGGTACATATTAGGTACCATCTATAATAACACTTCAGTTTGTGGAGCCCGATTGTCCACGAATGATTGTGGATCAGTACCCAAGTCACATATTTAAACAGCAAATTGGGATCTGTCAAGGATCCCAAACTAAGTGTCTACTGACAATGTACTTGCAATTTTGAAAAAAATGTGGTATTATTCAAAAATTGTATTCTGTTAATGTTTTTGTTGTGAATTCTGAGGAATTGGACAAGTTTTTTTTGAAACTGGGAATTTTTTACTGTCATTTTCTTCAGACTTGGGTCAAATAGTAGCTTCTGGTAATAAGATCTAGATAAATCCCTTCACATACATTCACAAACACAAGAATCAATCTGTTCAACAGTTCTGGCCAAATATATACACATTCAAAAAATCTTAAGCTTGCAATTTCAGTTGCCTCTGAGATGAAAATATGAATGACAAACTGATTCAGCTGACTGGATTGTGTGCTCTTCAGTGTTCAGTGGACAATATGTCTCTATATTTCTTTTTTCCTCTTACTGGACAAAAACAATTTTTGGGTACCCACACAATATTTCTCATGACATATACTGAATAGTTATTTCTAAGTGTAAATCTAAACCAGAATAATCCAATAGAATGACATACAGACCCTGAAACATATATTCAGCACAGCCCATGCAAGCCAAGATTACTGTGACATTTCTGAAAATCATGGGACTTGAGACTGATTTTTCCAATATCATATTCAGTTAATTTAACAAAAGGGCTCTGATTTGGTAAAATATTTACATCTCAGACTAGGTATTACTTGTAGTGTAAATTATCCCAGTACAAATTATTTTGTAAACAAAGATCTCATCCACCTCTTTCCACCAGAACATTAAACAGCCAGTCCTATATTTTAAACCCTTTTAGAACCAGTGCAGCACAATAACTCATGAGAACCACAAAGCAACATTTCAAGGAAAAGATAATCAAATATTCCACTCCATAAAACAAAACAGACTTACCCCTTCAAATCCAGCCAGGTTTCTGGACAGTCTGAGTGCAATGAGTGAAAAGCATGCAGCACAGTGTCCTACCAACTGAGGAGTTATCTCCCTTTGATTAATAAACTACCTATCCAAGGCACCTTAGGTTATTCAGGCTAGAGGTTTCATAACCCAGCCTATTTTGATTATTGTAGTCTTGGTTTTATATTCTAGTCTCTGAAATGAAAATATTTTCAGAAAAAACTGTTCATAAAAAATAATCATAAAATATAATGAAAAGGAGCCCAGAGACATTCTTCTTTTTCAGAAGCTGTGGAAATCTACATTTGTCACTTTTTTTCTAGACTTGCATGGGCTTTCTTACATATATTTATATCAGGGTCTGTATGCCAGACTATTTGGTTTGTATGCACCATGTGTGACTGGTCAGCTGAACACATTTTGCACAAATCTGTTCTATTTGTGGATAGCTTTATATGCAAAATAAAGCCTTTGAGAAATTGATACCAGTACAAGTGTGAAGGGCATGGATAGCCAGTTATACAACAATTCTTGCTACTGGAAATATTCTGCCCCTGATAATGTATCTATGCCTGTGTTACAGGGGGGTCCGAACAGAGTTTCAACCATAAATGTACCATGTGGATCCTATGTATATTGTAAGTATGCTATGTGGACCATAAATATAGTATGACCAGAAATTATTGAGAATTTTAGGAATATGTTTAATTGGATTTCTAGTTTAAACAACCTTGACCAGCTATCAAGTGCTTGGTTTCATTCAAGGGAGATAACTACGTTAATCCTTTTCCATAAGTTTGTGAAGAGTTATCCCCCTTTGTTTACTTGCTAGCAGACGACAGTTTCAGTGATCCTCAATATGGATGATTTAGAGAAGAGGAAGTTGATTTTAGAGTATTATAACAAGGACATCAGATCAGCTAAAGTGATTTCAAGTAGAACTGGGATCCCTTTGTCCACTTTATCGTATTTTGAAAAATATTGCAAATGGATATGGCATTGAGCACCAGGGTGGCGCAGGTAGGCCAAGAAAATTGACTGTCGGTGACACGAGGCGGCTTGGTATTCTTGTTTCTTAAAACAAACGAAGGAGTTTAGAAAACTTAAGGCTGGATATGATTGATAGAGGAAGTGTGGCTGTCTGTAAGGAGACAATTAGAACTGAGCTGCATGCAATGGGTTGGCAGAAAAGTCGAGGAATTCCATCACCGATCATGAAACCTGAACAAAAGGAGCGAAGGTTGAACTGGTGTTTACAGCATAGAAATTTCCTAATACACTGAAATTCTGGACCAAACAAACTGAAAAACCTTTGTATCAGCGCCCAAAGTACAGTCCGAAATTTAACGTGTGGGGTGGCATATCTGTGTTAGGGGCAACGTCCCTCTGTGTATTTGAAGGGAATATGAACAGTGAGCGGTGCACAGATATTCTTGAGGGACATTTACTTCCATCTGCTCACGTGTTCTATGGACATTTTTGGATTTTCAAGCAGGACAACGACCCAAAACATCGTTCAAGCATTCACAGGCCTGGTTTCGGACCCAAAATATGACATTATTAGATTGGCCAAGCTATAGCCCTGACGTAAATCCAATAGAAAATGTTTGGGGACTTATGAAGTGTCAATAAGAAAAATCTGACAAATATTGCTGAAATTAAAGAAGAGGTAGTCCGATATTGGGACAGCATGGACCACGACTTTCTAACTTCTTTGATGAGTAGTATGTCCCGTCGCATTGAAGCCTGCATTGCTGCCCATGGTGACTTGACAAAATACTAACTGTTCACCTGTCTTTGAATCTGGATTTATGTTCTCCTAATATTCACATTTAATACGTGAGTAATGAGAGAGAAAATAAAATTACAATCTTAAATTCTCAATAATTTCTGGTTGTACTGTATATATTATTTGTGAGTGTGTTAAATGGACTATTAATGTAGCGAGTGTACCATGTAGACCCTGTTTGTAAGATAAGAGGCCTGAGATAGCACTGGTTGTGTGGCATCACTACATTGACAGAGCTGTCAACCCCTAAAGATGGTTTGGAGTGAGACTGAAAAAAATAAGCCGGGCCGCAGGTCCCTGGTCATGTCGAGGGCGACACCTTGGTGGGGGGTCTCTGGGGGGCAAAGCCCCCCACCCCTGAAAATGAAGTTTAGTGATTTTCAGAAGCATTTGGAGCCTTCTGGTGGCTTTATTTTGACACTAAAAGATGCATGCTAATAAATAATAATAAGCCGAATCATTAGCATAAACATCGTTTTAGTACTTTGTTCATTCAGGCGTTCTTTCAATGTTCAACTTTACGCAAAAACGAACGAAAATGCGTATTAATTTTGAAATTATTTTTGGGTACCAGATATGCGTGAGATTATTATTTGGAGGCGTGCGAGCATGACATTTGTCAATAAAGCATGAGACTCACGCCAAATGCGTGAGAGTTGACAGGTATCATTGAGCAAGCTAGAGCTGTTTCAGATGTAGATAAACAGAAGAGTTATCTCCCTTGACTTAGTCTTTGTTAATCTTTCAGTTACATCACAGCATGTCAGCTTTAAGTGATGTCCATTGTAGACATTTACCACAGTGTTCTGACACTGAGCTGGCTAGTCCTTGTTCCATCCTTGTATGATGTACACCAGGCAGGGTACCAACAAGTACCATGTTATTACAAGTACAAGTACCATTTATTTACTGCACTTATCCTTATATCTGCTAAAACACAATTTGTTTGTTCTGTGACAAGTTGACCTGTATGCTTTTCAAATGTCATTCTCAACTCCTTGAGGAGTATATAACCCATGTTGTTAAGGGTTTTAACATCCTCCTCACATATAATGTCTTTTAGTATGATGCAAGCAGAGAGTGTGACCCCAACCTATCCACTGAACTACAGCATTCTCAACTTCCTGATGAGTAAACACCATACATTTATTATTTTAAACATTATTTATTCATTAATAAATGAACAGATTGGTAAACAGGCTATAAGCCTATATAAATACCTCTCATAACACCATACATACTACGGAGGCCATACAATAGTGAGTGAGTGAGTCTAATTTTTCGTCACTTTTAGCAATATTCCAGCACTATCACAGTGTGGGTACCAGTAATGGGCTTCACACATTGTACCCATGTGGGGAATCAAACCCGGGTCTTCGGTGTGTCGAGCGAACGCTTTAACCACAAGGCTACCCCTATGCCCAGACGGTAATGATAATCAGAGACCATATTATATGGTCTCTGTGATAATGCAGTGCCACAAGCATTCACTTGGTGAATTGAATCTTGAGCAGTTTAAAAAGACAATTCTGTCTGAATATATTGAGTAGTGGGCACGTTTACTGCAGATAGCATCAATCTCACAATAACACTAAAATACAACAAACACATCGATGGCAATTAAAGAATTTTAATTTAAATATTAGCTGGTTCCTGCAGCATGGAACCATGGGAAGGAAGGGGCAATGATATCACATGGTTAGTACATGATTCGCATGAGGAGTGTACATCAAGGGCGCTCTCTGTCTCCTCCACCATTTTGACACATCGCCGTCTGAGACCACAATGTCGAGAACCGTTGTGACACAGTGAGGATCAAGTACACATCGTCACTAACAGCCATGACAGAGTGAAGATGATGAGCATTGTGTCAAGAACAGTCGTGACATAGAAAAACATTAAGAACGCCATGTCAAAAATGGTTCCGACAGACATAAACGTAGTGAGAACCCTGCTAATTAATATCGTAACATCTATGTGCGATGCATAGGGAAGTCAATTTACAGTCTTTTTAAACCATAACGAAACATTAACAAATAATTTTTTACTTTATGTGTTTGGTAAATGTGGCACTTTGACAAACGGTGACAGCAACGTCCTAAGATAACACAAGATTAACGATTTTGTTCTAGTCCTCTGTATTGCAATAAATGCATAAATCAACAGTGACTATTCTTGCATTGGACAAATAAACAACAACAAAACTATCCTTTGTAAGGATTCAAGTTCGAGCCAGCTGTAAGTTCACTTCCCAAACTACAAAAACAGAATCTCACGTGACACCTGTATGGCCTGAGACTTAATAAATACTAGAGTGAGTGATAACATGACAGATGAGTTGATCGTGAATGTAATGAAGCTGATAATGTTGATGATCACTGAACAAAGACTCTTAGTGTTAAACACAACAGACCTGTGGAATCAGCAAGATATGTAGATATCGGATAGAATGCCGACAATAATCTCATATTCACTACAAGTGAACATCGTAGACTATGAATATGCTCTTAGCTTTTGTCCAATCACCAGTTAAAATATCTAAATAATGTCCATATTTGGAAAATATCTCCTTTTAAATTATGCATAATATAAAATTTGTCCACATTGTTAAATGTGGGTATTTTCCATAACATTCAAATATATAAAATACAACAGACTAAATTAAAATTGTGTCTTATAAATGCTAAAACTTTGGTGACTAAACTTTGCCTTCATAAGAAAACTTTTACAAGCGTGCCAAAATTAATTAGTGCAAGTTACATGACCACTAAGAATTTCATCTTTATGCATGCATCAACTTTCAAGAAAAGTTTCATACAATCATTCAAATAATAAATATATTTTAAAATTCAAAATCCCTAATAAATTCTGATTAACATTCAAGAAGTGAAGTTTTAAAAGTAAAGAGTGAAGTCTTGAAAGTAAAGAGTGAAGTCTTGGTTGGACTGAGCTGTTATGCGTAACCAGTTCTTGAGTGGAAAAAACAACCCGATTAGCATCAGCTGCCATTTTGTCAACAAGTTAGCAATTTGTTTTAAGAATGGGACATTTTAAAGAAGTGTGAACTGCAAACAACCTTGATAAAGTAATAACTTAAATAAATAGGTTCTATGAACAACGCGAAAGCATGTAATGGTAGAGGGACTGCCTCTCCTTAAACCCTCCCCACCCAACCCCGGTGTCCCCTCCCTTGTCCCTTGCGGTAATACACATTATCACAGAACTGTTGTCAGACATAGCTTCGATCAGCTGCAAGGGATTTCACATGTTAAACAGTAAGTCACAAGAGTCAAAGCTAACTCATTTTCTCAACAATCCAACAGTTTTTGTGTTATAAAGTTAGTGGATTAGCAAGAAACATATAAAAAATTGTTATTTTCAATTTATGATAACAGTAAACATGATAAGAAAACACTATGCAGTCCTAACACTTATTTGCACTTTTTCATTATGCTACACTGAACCATCTAACTATTATTTTGAAAATTATGCTACAAAAACAACTGCTACGTTGTATTCGAAGTTGAAACCCAGACTGGAGAGAGTTCAATTTAGAACTGAGAATTCCTCGTTCTCAGTAGACTAGACACGTCCAGTCGTCTCTCGACGAGAATTGTCTGAGCGAAGATACTCGAACCAAACATTTGCAATGACACAGTTTGACGGAATTGAAATAATGAATGTATCACAGTTGTCACACGGGACCCACTTCAAGCTGCTTAATAAATCTTTAAATTATTGGTTAAATTAAATGCCCCAAATATGCAAAAATCACATATACAAATGAACTATCCTTGCTATGGGCAAGAAACACTCTCCTGTGTACAGTTTGCCATTTTGACATATCAGTTGTTTTAGTCTTTCAACATATCTACACAAGTCTTTGTCTCTATGCAACAGATCGGGGGAGCTCAGCAAGAGTTATCCCCCTTGTCCATGTTAATCACAATGTGTGTCAGAGGACGCCGGATTGGCTAAAAGGACAGGTAACACGTCATGTGGAGATCATTCTGTCAACGTCATCAACAACAACAACAGCACTGTCACTGCTTGCAGTTTTTCATGCCCCTGGGGCAACATGGCACCAGCCTAGCTCAATCGGATGTTCGTTGGTAGCTCGCCGCTTGTACCATTGCCGTGCTCTTCCCTGAGTGAATTTCATGTGCAACTGAAAATAATGAGTTCGTCATCTAGCTTCTTCGAGTATCCATCAACGCACAGAAATATTGGCCGGCCATGACCAAACGAGAGTCAGCATTTGTAGTGTTGTCAGAATTGATGTCAGCTCAAACATATAGCTACTATCACTCTACACAGAGGCTTCATTTCTTATCAAGTCCTCGCTGATCTGAGTCCGATCCTTCTGGAATTACACACATGACAACTGGGCTGCTACCTTGACCTTCATTCTCTTTGTCCTCTTCAAGGTCAAACTGGAACTTTGTGGTTTCCTGATCATCCTTTTCGTCTGTCTTATTGCTACAGAAACTGGAAGAGGGGGAGATTGGTATCATTGTCTGGTACCAGTCACGGTTGTCCTCCAGCGTGTCCAGGATATCCTGGGCGTCTGGAAAGACCAGGTCTGCCCATGTTTCCCACAGTGGGTGGACAATATAGTCGATGAATCCAACCTAGAAAGCAAGGGCAGACATTAGGCTAGTGAAACAATCAGTCATCTCACATAAACACCACTCATACAGTAATATTTTCTATAAGACTAGCTATATGTACTATACCAACTACTGACAAGCAGCAATTCAGTGAGTTTTGATTTATCACAGCTTTGAATGGTTCTTCAGGTAGATAAAGCACATCAGCTCTATGTGATGGAGGAAAGATAAAGTCATGCAGATCTACTTCAGAGTTTCATAAACTTTCAAAGACATAGACAAAGGCACTGTGCCCTGGATTGTGGCTCATACTTTCAATCACTGGTTTGCTGAATAAACTGGACACACAGAATATTTGTGACCATACATACCTGAGTCTTTTCCACAGTTGCAGTGTGCCGGTCACACATCGGACTAATATCAAGACCTTGATCTCGTTCACGGTCTCCCTGTCTGAAAAACTCATCCATAATGCGATCCACCCAGTTTTTGTATATATCAAGGGGTTTCGTTGGGTTGCTGAGGTCCGAACAGTGAACCATGTTCTGGAGAACCTGAAGGTCAAAGGAAGGTCAAGGTCACAATTAAATAAGTATTCAACCAATTAAAGAAACCATAAAAGAAAAACATTCATGGACATCCAAACATTGCGTAGTTCTGCCGATGTACGATAAATTTCGTTTAAAACAGACACACTGATGACAAACAGAAGGACATAATGAACTATTTTTTTGGTTCCAGACACTTGATATATATTTTTCTTTTTTTCTGCAAAATGAACTAAAAGTAGTGGTGCTTTTGGGTTTACTATAACCATTGTTTACTGTAGCAAATATTTAAATACTTGAGTTATGTTTTCAAGCATTAGTTGTTTCTATGACGATGAAGTACGTACCTGTATTCTATCAGTATAGTTGTCCAGCAATAGCACTCCGGAGCCGGCAACCTTCTTCGTTTCTACCATTGTCTTCAGATCAGCCAGAAGACTCATATGTTTTGACATGTCTGTCGCAAGCACCTGCAAGAGTCAAACATTCATGAGAATGACATATCAAAAATATATCAATTTTGGTAACCCCTTTCTTTCACTGTGCCACTATTTAAGGCAACTCTTCCCCCACCCTCTTCACCTGTAACTAACAGTCCAGGCTGACCAAAGATGTCCAGCTACTCACCATGTCTATGACCATCTTGCGCAGCGTCTGTCTCTGTTTCTTGTTGAGGTTGACAAAGATATCACAGTTCTCCTCCTGGAGAAGTTTGAACGCCACAGCCAGATGATGGTTCTCCAGCACGGACTCGTCATTGTACATCAGGGCCAACTCTGAACCTGGGGACACAAGATGCACAGGTCAGTCACTGTATTGGGGGAGAGGGGGAAGTGGCTGACCAGGGTCTGCTCTGGACACAAGATGCACAGGTTGGGTCACTGTATTGGGGGAGACGGGGAAGTGGCTGACCAGGTCTGCTCTGGACACAAGATGCACAGGTCAGTCACTGTATTGGGGGAGAGGGGGAAGTGGCTGACCAGGGTCTGCTCTGGACACAAGATGCACAGGTTGGGTCACTGTATTGGGGGGAGACGGGGAAGTGGCTGACCAGGTCTGCTCTGGACACAAGATGCACAGGTCAGTCACTGTATTGGGGGAGACGGGGAAGTGGCTGACCAGGGTCTGCTCTGGACACAAGATGCACAGGTCAGTTACTGTATTGGGGGAGAAGGGGGAAGTGGCTGACCATGGTCTGCTCTGTCTGCAGATAAAAGTTCCCTTTGGGGTTGTCAACATTGGCCTTGAACTATAAGGGGCTGTTGATAGACGCTAAATAATTACTGAATTTTACATTTTTTAAACTTTTTTTTTGTAAGTCAAATCGCATTAAGGCTATATTTACTTCATTGACGATTTAAAAATTGTCTATGATATGGTTCCACATTTTCAAGAGCTTTCCACATCTCCATAAATATCAAATGCATCATGACTGAAAACATGTTTGAACTCAGTTTGGACCTGCAGATGCTATGCAAATTTGTGACCGTCTGCTTGTATGACCACCTCTAGCTTGAATGGTTATGTTTATCAGCTTCCCATCCCCAATGAATGAATGGAGAGGAACATCAAGATGAATGAATGAATGGACCCAGTGGAGGGAATTACCCGAGCAGTCAGCACCAGATGCCTACAGAGTTGCTTCCTCAACATCAAAGCAAAACCTGATATGGAACAGTTTATTTAGACCTCAAGCCAGGATTTACAAATTAGATTTAGGAGCTAGTTTATTCCCTAACAGTCAAATCGGTCTACACTGGCTGTATATCCAAGCTGACCCACAACTGCCAAGGATGAAGCTATCCAGCACTGCAGTAGGCCAAAACACTTGCATAGTTAGCTCTTTGTATTGAACAGCAACGAAAACAAACACATCCCCAACTTAATGTGGAATCTGGGGAGAATGTTTCTCTGCGAATCCTTCAGTGCTGGCTGATATCAGCTCTCATGACCTTGAAGCATTGCAGCAACAGATGTCAGCAATTGCGTCATAGCCAGCATTCTGGGGTGTACATCGTGGGATATATTTATGCAAATTGGGCAGTGCCAGGTCTTTGGTTGGTTGTATGATGCTATTCCTGTCTGTTAAGTGGTGGTACGTTTATGATGACGTACATGACCCAGAGGCTGCAATGCACTCACGCAACACATCAAACATCTACACTAACCTCAATATGCCCAATTCTCCAGGAATAGTGTGTTCATCAGATTTGCAATAAGAGCACTGTGTGTATCTAATGCTACATTTCTACTCTTCCCCGAACAAGTATATCCCAATTCTTCCCTCCCATATATCATTATATCCTTTCTGGTATATCCCCACTAGTATATCCTGATATATCCCTACTTGTATATGATTTTATCTCTTCCCTACAAGTATATCCTAATATATCCCAATTCATACATAAGATTATATATCTTCTTGTATATCCCTATGAGTATATCCCGATATATCAGTACTCTTAAACCAGCATATGACAATCTTTTTCCCTGTATATCACCACCTGTATATTCTGATATATCCATCCCAGTATATCCTACAAGTATATCCTGTTATTTCCTGATATATCCCTCCTGGCATCTAAAATCCTATTATATCCTTACTAGTATATCTCAATGTATGATGCTAGCATTTCGTGATACTAGCATCATACTTTGTTACATACACTGTTCAAATCCTGATATTCCTAGTATATCATGAGGGGCGCTGAGGTAGCCTAGTGGTTAAAGTGAGTGAGTGAGTGAGTTTAGTTTTATGCCACACTCAGCAATATTCCAGCTATATGGAGGCGTTCTGTAAATAATTAAGTCTAGACCAGACAATCCAGTGATCAACAGCATGAGCATCGATCTGCGCAATTGGGAACCGATGACATGGGTCAACCAAGCCAGCGAGCCTGACCACCCGATCTCATTAGTCGCCTCGTACGACAAACATGGGTTACTGAAGGTTCATTCTAACCCGGACCTTCACGGGTTAGTGGTTAAAGCATACCCACATGGGTACAATGTTTCAAACCCATTTCTGGTGTCCTACACCGTGATATTGCTGGAATATTGCTAAAAGTCGCGAAAAACTAAACTCACTCACTAGTATATCATGCTATATATCCCACTAGTATATCTACCACATTGACATATTCTGATACATAATGCTTCTGGTACAGACTGATCACCACATGTCTACAGATGGGAACATAGCTACGTGATGATGAAGTTGCGAGACGAGGATGCTGAACTCACTTGTGTTGACTAAGTACTGGTTGGTGACACCTGGGTGGTCAACGTCATGAATGGCACATGCATATATAGCTGACAGAATCTCCAGATCTGTGAACACACTCTGAAACAAAAATAATACATCATTAGATATACGACAACAAAACAACCCCTATTACCACAAAACTCGTGGTGTTGTGGTTAGAGCGTCCGCCCGGAGAGTCGGAAGGTCGCGGGTTCGATCCCCGACCGCGTCATACCAAAAGACGTTAAAATATGGTACTTGTTGGTCCCTGCCTGGCGCTCGGCATTAATGGGTACAACAAGGACTGGTCGGCTTGGAGTGTCTGAGAGGGGTATTCATGCTTCACTGCGGCATGGTATCTCAGTGGGCTAGCACTATAAAACCAGCTTCAGTCTGGGCTAGTACAAGCAGCCGCACATACACATACACATGCATGCACGTCGTCATATGAGCGAAATATTCTCAAGCACAACGTTAAACCCAATTCCACCACAAAACTCAACCTGGTGTTACGGATTCATCAACTAAGCAGGTTATTATGTACCATCAACCTTATGGGTCTTAACTTTCCATCTCATAGATCTTCTAAGATCTGGGTCTGGATCTTCAGCAACCCATGCTTGCCTTAAGTGACTAAGAGGATCGGGTGGTCAGGCTCGCTGACTTGCCACACATGTTATTGTTTCCTGATTGTGTAGATTGTGGACTTGGTTATTTACAGACCAACATCTGAAATACTGCAGTGTCAAACAAAGGACCAAACTTAGATTTTTAAAACTTATTGACTTATTTAAGCACACGGTTATCAGTCCTAACTATCTGTTTGATGACCTTGATAGGTCATACTGGTATGTGTTGATATATTCCTACTAACATATCCTGAAACATTACGTGCATATCCTGATCAAAATGTTTTCATCAGAATTTCCTGATAAAATCAACTATTTAAAAAAAAGATGCAGTACAAATATTAGCAAAGCCTCGAACTGTAGTAATGCGTATTAGCATTTGAACAATCCTTCAGCTTCCTACATCATCAAAACACTCTCCACCATGTTTACGACCAGCCTCAAACTTTCTCACTCTGCTTTCAACAAACAAATAAGACGTTTTAATTTATCAGAGGAAAACATTATCGGTTCATCTCATGGAAAACATTCTCAGAACCATCACACTCCGTGTACTCCTAGCAACAACATCCTTATCCACCATCAGATGCTTTTGTGAAAATTCTTGGAAACAGTCGGCCGTATTGTTGTCTCCCGGAGATATATTTCTAGGAAGTCTACGCTGACGCCAAGTCTTAGAACCATTCCAGTGTTATCTCTAGAAGATTATGTACTTCAACCTCTGCTGATTACACTCTCCCTTCATGACATGTTAGGAGACTGTTTCATCATAATTAGTAATCAAGAACACCTAACATCGAATTCCACTCGTTAGTCGACAGATCTTTATCATATAACTTCTTAGAATGTCAAAATACTTTAATCACTCACTCATCAAAAAGACATGAAAAATACCATGGAAAAAAACACCTCTGCATAATCTAACAGTTAATCTGCTGACTTTGTAATGTACTATCATCACAAATACCTTTGAGGGTAAGGAATGGCTGATGAGAATTTCAGAAGTTATCAAACAAGAACTGCGTGGTGAAATTACCAGAAGTCAGTGGAGGTAAGACCATCAATGTTTGAGAAGGTATGCCAAAAACTCTACTTTGTTGGTGAACCAAACCTCGTGATGTCATCCTGCCCACAGAATATTCTGGATGTGAGCTAAGCACTATGGCAGACAGTCGTACCCTACTTATACGCTCACCCCCTTACAGGTCGTTGTCATGAGCTTACCCTACAAATAATGCCCTATTCTGAAAAACGTCTCATTTAATTCACACTCATAGTTGAGCACCCTGCTTGCGGAATATCCGCATTTGATTTAGGAGCCACTGCTCTCTCCTCTAATTCAACCCAGCCCCTCTCACCCCCATAATCTCCTCTACAGATGCCGTGATGGCGCCTAGTGTGGGTGGGGTTAGGGACAAGGACACAGGCAAGTCCTTATCACATCTGTTGGTGCTAATTGTTAGCAACAGTTGGGCGGAACCAACATGAATGGACTACCTCGATAACAAAAAGGACTGTCTCACTTCCACTCTCTCACGCAGTCCGACATGGGATCACCCAATTAATTAAAGGATGGCGGGTTAATGATCTTCATTCATAACAATCTGTTGACAAAATGTTTTGAGGTCTTAAAAGAATCTCCTACGTCAGAGCTCGAAGAGTCGCCAGGAAACAAACACATTATGTAAACTTATGAGCTCATTGATACTCTTCCACTAGCAGTATTATGTCAGATATAATAACAAATCTCTGATTATGTGTATTTGAAGAGAACAAGAATTGATTGTTTTGTAGATATCAACACATTAACCATCCCTATCTAATTTTCTTTCCGAAAAACACAAATTTGAAAGCCTTACCTCCCCAGAAAAATTTAGCATATATTTACAAATAATGAAATAAAAGAAATAATCTATCACACATATAACTTTAAACATACCTGAAATATTCATTACAGATTATCTAAAGTTTCAACACATAATATTCATTATTCATATTTTATATTGTCATCTTGACATACAAGGTACATGTTTAGAAGTTTAGAATTTTGTCCCTGTTTTTCGCATGAAACAATTTTACAATAAATATCTTGTATCTGCTTGGCAATATTTCCATTTTTAAAAGGAGACAAACAGTTTTGAAAGTGAAAAACATATTTTTTTATCAAAAGATATTTTAAAAATTGTCCTCCACCAACTATAGGATGCATGAGGTGAGGTGAGTTGAAATTGGGTTTAACGTCGTGCTTGAGAATATTTCGCTCATATGACGACGTGCATGCGTGTGTATGTGTATGTGTGGCTGCTTGTACTAGCCCAGACTTAAGCTGGTTTTATAGTGCTAGCCCTCTGAGATACCATGCCGTAGTGAAGCATGAATACCCCAATCAGACACATTATACTGACTCCAAACTGACCAGTCCTTGTTGTACCCATTAATGCCGAGCGCCAGGCAGGGACCAACAAGTACCATATTTTAACGTCTTTTGGTATGACGCAGTCGGGGATCGAACCCGCGACCTTCTGCTCTCCGGGCGGACGTTCTAACCACTACACCACGGAGGCGGCATAGGATGCATGAACATAGTAAAAAATAAAAAATAATTTTGCTCAGTGTACACATATAAATTACAGAGCCTACTGTAAGCTCCAAACCCATACTATTCCTAAACATTGATTATCAACAGCCCGTGTTGGTGATGCTTACTTCAAGGGCAGGTGCGCTGAGGAGCACGTGCGTGGACTGCGTGACGTCAGAGGCGTGGATGGAATTGTGATAGGGCGTTCTCTCGATGGTAATGTTCTTCCAAGTGCATCAAATAGGTGACTAGAGTATGTGCAGGAATCTTGAATGTATTTAATAAATCTCTTTCCTGGAAAACAAAGGTTATTGTATCAACATTGATATGCATTTACTGATCATACAAGACACATAAAACAAATAGTTATTCTCTTGAAAGGGTCACAAATAATTTCATTTAAAAGTGAAAATGTAAAATCATTTTATTTCTGGTTTTAAATAAAAAGTAATAATGCTTACACTGTGACCCAAAACATGAATGCTTTTGTTAAGACAATACAATCTTTAAAACTAAACAAAAATTTAAATTAAAATTTTATTTGTTATCAACAAATTCTGCTTTTTCTTACCTGAAATATTGTGTATGTGATGCTGGTAAGAGGTTTGTTGGTTGAGTATTCAGAGATTTTGAAAATATCAATCCCCCACTTGTCAACGTCATTCAAATACTGAAAAGAAAAAACACTAAATTAGTTCAAGTTCATGCAACAATGCATTATTCAATACCTATCTCAATATATATAGTCCTACTGATCTGAAGTACAAGGTTAAGTAAACACTGCTTAATATCGGCAGTGAAACAGCTGTCGCATTGCAGCATCGGCAGAATATCATTACTATGATGATCATAGCAATCAAATATTCCTACATTCTTCATCTACACAGCTGTTAATATATCAATTTTCCATTTTAGCACTATACAGCTGAAATATCTCAATTAATAATTCTAGTTGTAGTAATATCGAACTTAACAGTATGTAGGAAGCTCAACAATGGCTTCACAGACAAGTGTTGATCAATAGCATAACCTTCAAAAGTATATGACTAAAGTGCACCGAAGTCAGTACATAGTCTGTCTAACAGTCCCTGAACCATATTATTTTCCCTACTGCCTAGCCCTCCCTGCAATGTAGTCTGTCTCACAGTCCCTGAACCACATTATTTTCACTATTGCCATGCCCTCCTAGTCTGTCTCACAGTCCCTGAACCACATTATTTTCCCTACAGCCTAGCCCTCCCTGCAATGTAGTCTGTCTCACAGTCCCTAAACCTCATGATTTTCCCTATTGCCAAGCCCTCCAGCAGGGAAAATAATGTGGTTCAGGGACTGTGAGACAGACTATGCTAAAGCTGTAAATTAAACAAGTCTAGATGTCCTCAGGTTCACGTTCCTGAATCTTTCAACTCAATGGGGCTCAGTTTCAATTTAAATGGGTTTATTTGATACAATCAAACATATATATATTCAGAGACTAAGCGTTAGCCTGTCAACATCTGTACAACTCCAACATTGTGATACACGGAAATGTCGCTTTACAGTAACTCAACAATTCAGATGTACCATATGACAAAAACATGCCCAACTAAAACCAACAATTTCACACAGTATTCAAATATTTTACCAATATTTACTTTAAAGTTAATTTTTCAAACATTTATCAGCTGAATTTAGCAGTTAATGGAGATTTTGTTTCCTTAAAAATATGAAACATGATAACAGTACGTTTGCCCTAATTATGACGAGTAGTTTGCTTCCTTCCCCGAGAAATGTGAATGACATCACTCCACCATGTCATTCACTACCGACCCGACAGCAGCCATATTAACACTCTCTACACATCCTGGACCGTATACATATCTCAACCTAACTTCGTCTGTTGATCACACTCTTCATGATACTTAACGTGACAACACAGCATTGGAACAATTTTGATGCATGGAACGGAAACTAGCCAAACAAATGGTACATAGAACATGTTTGGCTTTTAGTCTCTAGTAACAAATATATTATTCAATTAGAACCAAAATGATGTATCTTTTTTGTTTTAAAAACATCTTACCTTAAATTGAAATACACAGACATAAAAATATGAAATACACTGAAAATATGTATTTTCAGTAAAATGCTTTTTCTTTAATATTTGGTAAATTTGATATCATGAGTATTTCATCACTGTCTGGCTTTTTTATCGTGTTGATTTGTTTTTAGGATATAAAAACTGTGAACATCATCTCAACAAAGTTTGAAGCCTGAAAATCTGTACAAGAACAGAATAATGGATCTGTGCTTTCCAAAACATTTTTTCATGAAACATAACTGCTTCACTCACTCGTGCTAGCTCTTCTTTATGAGGTGTATCCACTCCATGTTTTGGCACAATTCCTGTAAAGCTGTTGGCATGTTTCAGTTTCCGAACTCCCTGTATCTGGGACATAGGCCGATTCTTGTCGGGGATCTCCTTAGTGACTGTTTCCACTGTGTCGACTTTCAAGGTTGGGATGTCAACTTCCTGTTGTTTGTCTGTAATAAAAACCGATGATTAAATTCCCGCGACAAAAAAGTCATTAAGTTTTCCTGGTAAAATCAGTCACAAAAAAATCATAATAAAAAAACACAACATCCGCATCTTTCTCTGGAAATGAAACCATGTTCCTCGTAATTGTACACTTCCCCTTGACTCACTGTTTACATTGTGATGAAGATGTGTTAGTCATGATATTTCGTAAAAATTACAAACAAAACTTTTCAGCAGGAAAAAGTGTATAACTGCATCTTAAAATGACACCATATATCGCCCAAATCCTAAATCCAAAATCTCACCTCCAATAACAATATACCACTTGTCCAACATTATGATTCTATTCACCAGAGCAATTCACACTTGACCACCGATAGTAAAACTCTTTTGGATACTGAATAAGTATAATAATCCGTCACGTTATCAGTAACCGTGTTCACTAAGAAAGACACAGGGGGTTGTTCATTCAGGTCAAAAAGCTTTAGGTGCCCTGGTCCTTCTAGGACCTTGTTGGCCCAAGACATCTCAGCATGAGGCCCCTACACTGTAGCCCTCTATGGGTCCCTTCTGTTTATACTAACACAGCAGGTGCCCTGAATGGTTTCATTGTGCTTCTCCACATGCCCCTGTCGCATGTAGGCTGTCTCAGGAGGTTCCCTTGTCATGTACACAGTCTCAGCAGGTGCCCAGCTGTATTCATAAACGGACCGTAATGTTGTTAGCCAATCAGAACCCATAGTGAGGAGGTCCTGTGGAGGTCCTGAGGAGGTCCTGGGCAGATCATCCCAGGACACACACTGGACAGGCCTCTGGCTGAGCTGTGTCCACCCTAAGCTTGATATTAATAGCAACCTTGGACAAATCTGACAGACCTTCAACTCAGCAAGTAGCTCAGCTTGTGGGACGCTCAACTGAGAACCAGCAAAATCACCCCCAAGGTGTCCAGTTCATTTGTCTACAAACCTAAATCCTCCCAAATATTTGGTAAATGTATTCTTACTGACAAGACACAAAATCACCCCCAAGGTGCCCAGTTCATGTGTTCACACACCTAAATCCTCACAAGTATTTGGTAAAAGAGTTCTCACTGAGGACCAGCAAAATATTCCTGAAGTGTACAGCCATGAAATTATATGTTTGGGAGTGATATCACATTTAATGCAACATTCGGACCTCCAACTAAAATACACCGGTACATTAGCCTGTAACAACATCAGCCTTATAATCAATCTGGCAAACCAGTGGTTGAACATATGAGCAAAGATTCCCATCTAGATCCCCCGCGTGATCATCATGTGTGTATACCCCACATTACTGCTGTACCAAGTGCTCCGGTCCCTGTCACTCCCAACACAAATTACTACAGATGTAGGCCTAAGGTGTTCTGTACAATACCACACTGACCAGCACATATAAGAGCCTATCCTGTCCTGAGGTGAGGTGAAATTGGGTTTAACGTCGTGCTTAAGAATATTTCGCTCATATGACGACGTGCATGCGTGTGTATGTGTATGTGCGGCTGCTTGTACTAGCCCAGACTTAAGCTGGTTTTATAGTGCTAGCCCACTCAGATACCATGCCGCAGTGAAGCATGAATACCCCACTCAGACACATTATACTGACTCCGAGCCGACCTGTCCTTGTACCCATTAATGCCGAGCGCCAGGCAGGGACCAACAAGTACCATATTTTAACGTCTTTTGGTATGACGCGGTCGGGGATCGAACCCGCGACCTTCCGCTCTCCGGGCGGACGCTCTAACCACTACACCACAGAGGCGGTCTCCTCTCCTGAAACCATACTGCATTTCAAACTTCACTGACAACTTCATATTTTTAATGTCAGGGCATGTACTTGAATCTTTTATAGGAATAATAAAAATAAAAAATAAATTAAACAAAATCAAGAACTTCATTACCGTTGCAGTTCATCTTTAATTGGTGGAATCGTTAGATTAGCACCACTTGGCAGCAAGGGAACTTTCTCCCTTTAATGTACCTTGTAGATTGAACAATTTCAAGTCTTCATTAAATTAACCCTCCAAAACTTGGTAAATAAATAGTTACACAAACAAGCTTCTCTTTCTTGTTATTCAGTCCAGAGAACTAGATGGGTCATTAGCACCACTAAAGGTTCAATAGCCACCAGGAACATAGGTGTGGTATTATGAATTAATCCCTGTGTCCCACTACTGGGTACTGTTTAGCACCATGTTTACAACCAGTAGCAGTGATTCACATAATAGGATACACTAGGTGGTCAACACTCGTAACATCAGAGGTTTCGACACACACTACACATAACCATTAAGCTTGTTTACAATACCTCATGGCCTGAAACTTAGGTTGCACCTTAACGCTCATGTCATGTTGGTTAATAAAACATAAATATTCACAGGGTTATGTCAAATTACAATATCAATACTTGTGTGTGATCTTTGCCATCATAATTAATGTAGATGCAATTTGATAAACAGAAGAAGAGTATCAAATCACGTGTTTATGCCTGCTGTCGTTGATAGATATACAGATTAACATCACTGTCAATGGTAGTGGCTCTGTGGCTGATAACATTTATTATAGGGTGTGAAAACGAAGTGCAGTCATTCACTACTCCCTGCCACTTGGACCTAAATATTTTGGCTTGGGTCGCTCAGGGTTACCACAACTATTATAGTCGTAAGTTTCTCTTTCATGTGGTCTGTCTCTCACCCCAATGCCCTTAGACTGTGTGGGATTCACAGAGTCACTGGGTTCAGAACAATTTGAACAGGAAAAGTCTGAAGTGTCAAACCCCCCATCCAGTGGAACAAATTTGATTTCTAACATATATTCAATTAGAATAATAGTGATATATTTAAGAAATGTATTTTCTTAATATATGGAGACTTTTGAATAAAAAAAATTGACACAGGAGTCTCATTGCTTCCATTCATGGTACTTTCTCAATGACATTTGACGAGAACTGTTGTATGAGATTATTTTAACCAAAATTAATTTTTGACATGATAATGTTGTTACTTACATTCATAGCACTTTCTCGATGACACTGTGAGAAGAATTGTGTCGGTGTGAGATGTTGGGATCATGTCGATGTTACTGCCGTTGCAGGGAACGCGACATGGAGAGTCCACAACGGAGAGAGAACACAACACAGGCATATCGCAACTACAGAAACTCAGCATCAAACTATTCCAAGAAAATTGTTCCAGTACCAGTACCAGCTTTCATAAACTCCAAACTTCCTTCAGGCAGAAACCCTTCGTCAAAATATCCAAAGATACAACTCACATTGGTCTTAGAGGATGAACCTCTGTGTCACATACAAGCTGAAAGTAAACTGAATCAAACACACAGGCCATGCTAACCATATCTCTCGTATTTCCCTACTATGAGAGTTGCCTTCTGATTGGTCGACATCCACACACTGCCTGCCAATCATTGGCTGATGCAACACAGGGACTGTGTTAGTTTCTTGGCTTGAGTGAACAGCTAATAAGTTCCTCGTGTGAGTTTAGCTTTGACGTCACTAAGCTCTTATGCTGTCTCGTTAGTTCACAGACCTGGTTGGGCTCGGCTTGCTTCATGTAGCTGCCTCGACTCTCCCTACACTCGCTGCAGCTGATACTTGCCAGACGCAAAGCCTACCTAAAGCCCTGTTATCTACTTGTTTGTATAGACAAGTATTCAAACAGTTTGAAATTGATCAATTTTTCGTTAGCTGAATCTCAAGAAATTCTTTACAAATTAGCACAACTTGTGTATCATATTCATGAAATTGGGCACAGTTATAATTGAACCTGTAAAGAGATCATCTGTCACTGAATGTTTTATGAGATAACTAGGACTGTCGGGGGGGATGGGGTGGGGGATATTGATGGGTGTCTGCTGTTCCTACTCGTGTTCATGCTATAACATTTCAGTCATCATGCATTAGCATTCTAGTCATTAAGCTGAAGTATTTTAGTCATTAAGCTGAAGTGTTTTAGCTATCATGCAGTAGCATTCTAGTCATTAAGCTGAAGTATTTTAGTCATTAAGCTGAAGTATTTTAGCTATCATGCAGAAATATTTTAGTCATTAAGCTGAAGTATTTTAGCTACCATGCAGAAGCATTCTAGTCATTAAGCTGAAGGAAGTATTTTAGCTACCATGCAGAAATATTTTAGTCGTTAAGCTGAAGTATTTTAGCTATCATGCAGAAATATTTTAGTCATTAAGTTGAAGTATTTTAGCTATCATGCAGAAACATTTTAGTCATTAAGCTGAAGTATTTTAGCTACCATGCAGAAGCATTCTAGTCATTAAGTTGAAGTATTTTAGCTACCATGCAGAAATATTTTAGTCATTAAGTTGAAGTATTTTAGCTACCATGCAGAAATATTTTAGTCATTAAGCTGAAGTATTTTAGCTACCATGCAGAAGCATTCTAGTCATTAAGTTGAAGTATTTTAGCTACCATGCAGAAATATTTTAGTCATTAAGCTGAAGTATTTTAGCTACCATGCAGAAATATTTTAGTCATTAAGCTGAAGTATTTTAGCTACCATGCAGAAGCATTCTAGTCATTAAGTTGAAGTATTTTAGCTACCATGCAGAGATATTTTAGTCATTAAGCTGAAGTATTTTAGCTACCATGCAGAAGCATTCTAGTCATTAACCTGAAGTATTTTAGCTATCATGCTGTAGTATTTTGCCCTTTAACCTAAAATGATACATAAAAAGCATCTGTAGCATGAAGTTACAGTAACTAGGATGCTGACAGTAGTAATCTGTTTTAGTTCATATCTGACTTGTGCAATTCAAGCAAAGTCAAGCTGGTGTTTATCTGTGACAACAGCCCTCACAATGTGGGTGGGTATCAGGCAACTGGATCACATCAGCCGATTAACTCAATCCTTGTAGGCATGTTATTCCTTACTCTGTAGCACAGTAGCTAAATCAATAGTGATCGTTTACGGTTTATGCACAAGTGTAGATTTATTTTGCCAAATATTTATTCT